ATTAAGAAGACAACATTTTGCGATTTTAATTTGAATCAAACAGGGGGTTATTTTTCCTCCCCAAAAGCTCAGAAAAAAAATATGGAAAATTACTTATGGAATTTTTTTTTTTTTTTTTTAATAACTTGTGGGTCCTCTGAGAAATCACAGACAACCACTGTTAATAATTGCAGAAGGTATAGAAAGTAGAACTTCTCTAGAAATAATTTATTGCCAGAATCTGTACTTTTTAAATTCTTTTTAAATTTTGGTGATGAATTAGGGTTTGGGTTTTACTGTTGAATCCTTTCAATTAACATAAATTTAATCCGAACTGATTAATGAAGTAATTTGTATTTTTTTAGCACAATTTGTACTAAAAATCTAAACTTAGTTCATAAGTCAGGGGTTTCCAAATATTTGAACCCAAGAACCCCAAAATAATATGATCCCCTTGCGAGGTCCCTGATTCATAAATGAAAATAAAAAAAAATTAATAAAAAATAAAATATAATATACAGTATATATACACAATACATAATCTCATCTATACTGTGTGAGAAATATTATAGAAAAGCTAGTACTTTTTTCCAAATTATTTTTTGAATATTTTGGGGGTCCTCTTAAAAAAAAAAACAAAAAAAAAACAGACATCCTCTGTTAATAACTGTTAACTGTTTTTTTTCTTTTAGCCACTACTAGAATGATGTTAGTTGTACAAATAAAATGTTGTTGTTGTTTTACTATTAGTAGCATAAAATAATCTGACCTGTCTTTACAAAGCAAAATGAAACAGATTTGATAGATGTTATATTTGTAATATTTTTGGTCTCTCAAATTGCGTTCCCCGAGCGTCCCCCTAAGCCCTGGCATAAGTAACAGTGCTCGGTGATATCTGTATTGTGCACTCACACACCTGTGTTCTGCTCTCTGCAGGCTGGAAGAGTCGAGTTCAGCCCTGTGCGCGCAGATGGAGAGACTCCAGCAAGAGATGGAACAGGAGAGGAAAAAAAAACTAATGCTTGAGATCAAACTGAGAAACTCTGAACGGGCCCGTGAGGACGCAGAAAACCGCAATCGCCTCCTTGAGAAAGAAATGGAAGACTTCTTCTCCACGCTGGGGGATCTGGCTCTTGGAAGCCGTACCAGTGACATTTAATGCAAACACACCCAAAGTCCCCAAATGGACCAGAGCACTCAGGCATCTCCAAAAATCATGTGGACAAATTTTTGTGTTCATCAAATCAGACCTAAAATACAACTAGTTAAAGGCCTTCCAATGTGTACCAGGTACTTTTTTCGAGGAGATTCTCGCCGTTTCAGCAGTGTAGCATTTATTAAAGCCATTTTACACCTGTTGATTTACAGCTATTTCTTTCTGGAAGCTTCAGCTTTAGGTGACAAAGAAACAAATGGAACGTCTGAATCTGATCCTTAAATCAGTTCAAATTATATCATGCATCCTTTGCATGTTTAGGGTTCCCAATAATGACAATTAGAGCAGATTCACTGGCTTCTGCATGTTAAAGGAAGAGTTCACCCAAAAATAAAACATTTACTTCAAATTTACTCACCCTCGGGCCATCCAAGATGTATGAGTTTGTTTCTTCATCAGGTTTGTAGAAATGTCGCATTGCATCAGTGTCTCAGCAATGGATGCTCTGCAGTGAATGGGTGCCGTCAGAATGAGAGTCCAAACAGCTGATAAAAACATCACAATAATCCACACCACTCCAGTCCATCAGTTAACATCTGGAGAAGACAAAAGCTGAAACAAATCCAGCATTAAGACGCTTTTAACTTCAAACAGTCTCTTCTGGCAAAAACACTAGTCTATAATCCTCCAGGGGAAAAAATCCATCTCTGTTGTCTCTCACATCAAAATCCACCCACAGATTTGTTTAGAGCTGTTTTGGCTTGTAATTGTGCTCGATTTGTGCAGATTTCTCTCCTGATTCAGACTTTTTCTCAATATAGGACTCATACTTTAGCTGGGAAAAAAGGTTAAAAGTTCAAAACATCTTAATGATGGATTTTACTTGTGGATTATTGTGATGTTTTATCAGCTGTTTGGACTCTCATTCTGACGGCACCCATTCACTGCAGAGCATCCATTGGTGAACAAGTGATGCAATGCTAATTTCTCCAAATCTGATGAAGAAACAAACTCATCCTAATCTTGGATGGCTTGAGAGTGAGGACATTCTCAATCAATTTCATTTTTGGGTGAACTATTCCTTCAAGCAGACCACTGCCCTACAAAAACATGTCAGTTTAAAATTAAAGTGGGAAAGTGAAATTATTGAGGTCTCACTTTGAAACTGTTTTCTTGCATATTTGGTGGTATCTCGACACTGTCAACGTGACCGTCATTGTGGATCTGGTTGGGCTCATATTTGACCAGAGAGAGCTCTCCAAACAGCAGTAACTCTGCCTTCCATCAGTATGAATCATTACGTCCCGCAGACGCCGGAGATCGTAAGCCCAAAGTAGCGTATCAGTCAGCAAAATAACTGACAAGGGCTTCATGGGAATTGACACAACAAAAACACCTGAAATTTGGGATAAAAAAAAAAAAAAAAAAAAAAGATTGAAACGTGACTTTTGTCAATTGATCGAATTTTATTTTACACTGTTTAAGTGTATAGAAAGACTAGAAATGCTCTGTGGATGTTTCTTAAAGTGAGTGGTCAAAAACTGTCATAGATTGTGTAGACTCAGCTCAATTTCTGAACTGTTTTCCGACTGCATAGTAGCTCATATATTATATATTAGCATGATGGCCGTAGCCTAACGGTTAACTTTCCAGGCTGCTAATATGAATGTTTCAGGTTCAATCTCAATAAGAAGAGACCCAGAAACTGGACATCACCACTGTGCCCTCAAGCAAAGTGCTTCTTGCTGCTCAACATGCTTCAGTTATCAATCCATTTGGATATTATTTGGATTTTACTAAAACAACAGCCTTTACAATAGACTTTAATGCATATTTAGAGTATGTGAAGATGTTATACATCATGATTAGACTATTATACTGCAGTCATACATGACGATTAGACTTCTGTGCTGTGTTGAAATGTTACCAAGTGTCACTGTGGTGGTATGTAATTATTCGCAAAGGACTAAATGAAACGAACGGAAAGGAATGTACCTCTTGTGAAATAAGACAAAATAAAATTGACTGAAAATTGCCTGTCTAATATTATGCATCGTATTTTTAAACAGATTGAATATTTCGGAAGTGAACTCTGGAAGGTGAATATGAATTATTGAATTTTTAATCATGAAAATGTGTAAAATGTTTCGAATTGAAATATTCACAGCTTAAATAAACAACTATGTTGAATTTCAGCCCCTAAAAATGCAAGCACTGTTAATGCAATGCATTATTTTTTTCAGTTAGTGCAATTCAACATGCTTTTTCTGTTTCAAAGACATTTGACATTATTTTTCTTCCATACATTAAATGTTGCATGCACTCTTCCTTAGTATTTTTATTTTTTTTCAATATAAATATCCAAACATCTTTAATCCTCTAATGCTGCTTGTGTGGTGGTAAAAAATTTTTTTTAAATGAAATAAACATTTTAGTTTGGTAATGGTTTAATATTTTGTATTTTTAGGGGATGTTATGGTACTAAATTATATTTATGGAATAGTTATGATCCATTTATTACCTGTTAACCACTCTCTGGGCATAGACCTGAAAATGACATTTCCAACTTAAACGGGCATAAATCTTGAATGTTTTGGAGCACAGACTTAAGTTTGGTCTCTTTTTAAAGAAGACACTTGGCAGATTTTTACATTTAGATATTTTCCAAAATATGTTTTACTCTAAAACTGCACCAATCTAAACAAATTGTGTTCCAAATTTGAGGTTGATATCTCAAAAAATGAGCTTTCAGTAAGATTTTGGGTGCAGTACCAAATGTCTCCACTAGATGAAATTTCCAATGCGGTCATTTTTGACCACGAACCGTTCAAATGAGACAAAAAGCCTAACGCCAAAACCTTTACCAAGTTTTGTACCATTCTGATGAAGTAAAAAAATAAATAAATACAATTTTCCGATCCAAATGGTATATTTACGAAATTGCAAACCATTCGATCCTTACAGTTTCTTTAATTGGTCTTATAAAGTCTTAATTTACCTGCAGAAACCCTTTAAATGTCTTGTATATTAAACTGGTGTGTGTAAAAGCAATGAGACCGAGGAGACGGTTCTGATTCAAACTGGTGTTTATTTGCAGTACATGTACAATTGGTTTCATAAGATCCCAGCGCATTCTTTGTAGTAGTGCACTTCTCAGCATCTGTATGCTGTTTAGTGCACACAGAGCTAGCAATTTATAACTAACTGATGGGCTGGGCATTGCTAGCAAATATTACATACCAGCACCAAATCTTAACACGTTGGTAATTCATGATATTTTACAGATGCTTTTAAACCGGACTTACCAGGATGATCAAAGTCCAGTGGCTAAACATAACAACTTGCAAACATCAGCCACAGATTTTCATTTTTGGTAAGATGGGTTATGTAACATTGACAATATAAGTCAAAGAAAACAAAATGACAAAAAAAACATGAATTTATCTGACAGTACCAAACATATCTCTACCTCTGGGTACATACAACTAATAAGTCTAGATCTATTGATTACAACTAGCATGACAGCAGTGGGTATTGCACATGAACTGTAAAAAAATGAGTACAAAGTCAAATTAAACAAAAAAGATCAAATTTACATTTCAATTCTTTGACTTCTAGGTGAAGTATACATAATGTACAAAACTATACGTTGCCTACTATTGACAATAGTTCACTTTAGAAATAAATAAATAATGAAATCCGTATTAACATCAAATCTTATGGGCAGCTACGTCGCAAAAAAAAAAAAAACCGGTAGAAATTTAGAGTGAGGTAGTTCATCAAAGCCTACTTTGATCTGAATTATAAAATTTTTGAGAGATGAGATAAAAGCAAATGAAAGTTAAAATTCATTAACTTCCCTAAAGAGAGCAAAGAAAAATTAAGAGCACTTAACACGGATAAAACAAAATGCAACTCAAATGAAAGAATATAGTTATGCAAACTCAAACCTTCGGTTCCTACACCTCCCAGCTATCCCGCAAGTACATTCCATAGCACTACCTCATGGGAAATGTAGTTCCCACCTACAGCATTCGATGCAATATCTTGCATATTTCCATAAACAAAATAAAGCTGCAAACCATATACACATACCAACAATGTTCCAATTTGCTAGTACTTTGATGAAAGACCTTGCTTGAGGAACCGTCCCTTTACAGATCATCTTCTCAACATGCCCCGACCTTTCAATCGACATCATACTTCCAATGCACTAGAAAAATAGACACTCCAACATGATATGAACAGTATTACTTTGAAAAACCTCACCCAAATTTCTTCACCTCTCTAATCATTCAGGAATGAATGCTGGACTCAGGCACTTTCTCCATTTTGTAAGCAAAATAAAAACCGTAGATATTAACCCAATGATGAATGGCATTTCCAAATTTAGCAGTGGATTTAGTTCATTTAGTATGTAGAGTTTACACTAGTATTGTAAACACAATTACATTCCAAAACACATTTTTCTAAACATCAGAATAAATCTGATACTGATGGGCTATTTTTTAGCCTTAGACAGCCATAAAAAGCAGTAGTTCCTTTGGGATCCACTTTGAACCTCCAATCTAATACGTCTTCATTCATTTAGCATGATTGCTCCATCCAAAACAACGCTATTAAAAATCACCCCCCGAGAGCGGTTTTTTTTTCTCATTGCGTAATGAATAAGATCGCATTGGTAGACGCAGTTTGGTAGTAAATTCATAAGTACTAGAGTACAAGGCCCTGTTTACACCGGGTATTAAGACGCGTTTCCGTCGATCTGATCACAAGCGGACATCGCTAAATACAGGCGTGAAAGGGGTGTTAAATGTTTCGAGATTGTCCACTTTTGAGCACTTCCAGAGGTAGTCGAAAACAGCCACTAAAGACCGCCTGCTCTCCGATGATCATTTCCTATCCGTTAACCGGCAACATTAGAATGTTAAATTAGATTTAAGTTACAATGGATAAGTGTATGTGACCCATTAAAAATAGCCTAAATGTTTTTCTCTTCAGTGGTTTAGTTTTGCATGCGCATTAAACAACAGAAGAAATCAGAATAAAATGACATATGATAGGAATAAAATAAACAGGCCTACACAAAATGTGTTTCAGTTAAATACTTAACAAATTAACAAAACAAAAGGAACAAAAAAAAAAAAGTCTGTTTTGTTTCATTTTTACGGCTGCACCACAAGTTTAAGGAAACCAAGACGGCTGAAAGCGCCTCCTGTTTGCTTGCTTTACTTTGCAAAGGCACAGTTTTGTTGTTATTGTGAGTGTACATAAATAAAAGTAAATGCTTTACAGCATCAAATTATGTCTTACTCCTATTTTTATGACCAAAAATCACAGAATGTTGTAATTTTTTCCGCTGTGATATGGAAAATCTCTGTGATCGCGCCGTAGCCTCTCACGCACACAACATATCATTTATAGCACTGCTAGCTGTTTATAGGCCTGTGTTGTTTATAACGAATGCCGTTATAATTTGTTTTATTTTATAATTATACACTACCAGTCAAAAGCTTTTGAACAGTAATATTTTTAATGTTTTTTAAAGCATTCTCTTCTGCTCACCAAGCCTGCATTTATTTGATCTAAAATACAGCAAAAGCAGCAATATTGTGAAATATTTTTACTATTTAGAATAACTGCTTTCTATTTGAATATATTGTAAAATGTAATTTATTTCTGTGATCAAAGCTGAATTTTCAGCATCATTACTTCAGTCTTCAGTGTCACATGATCTTCAGAAATCATTCTAATATGCTGATTTGCTGCTCAAAAAAACATTTATTATTATCATCATGTTTTTCAGGTTTCATTGATGAATAGAAAGAGCAGAAGAACAGCATTTATCTGAAATAGAAATATTTTGTATTATAGATGTATTTATCATCGCTTTTGATCAATTTAAAGCATCCTTGCAAAATAAAGGTTAGAAGAAAAAAAATTCACAGCTTTGATCACAGAAATAAATTACATTTGAACATATATTCATATAGAAAGCAGTTATTTTAAATAGTACAATTTTTTTTCAATTGTGCTGTATTTTGGATCAAATAAATGCAGGCTTGGTGAGCAGAAGAGAATTCTTTAAAAAACATTAAAAATCTTACTGTTCAAAAACTTTTGACTGGTAGTGTATATATAATTTTTTTTTTAATAAAATTACTATAATTTTGCAGCTAATTGTATTTTCAGATCTTATTCTGAAAAGATCTTTTCAGATCTTATTCTGTTCTGAATACTGGTAAAAATTAAAGGATTTGCTGACAACTTATAGGTGACTAATGTTTGTTTGTTTTTTTCTTCTCCCAGCAAAATTTTGATTGATATATGTAGCAGAATTTTTTTTTTTTTTATCCATGCAGCAAACGTTTTAAATATAGCTTTGGGGAAAAAACGGCGTTTGGCTCATATGTAAATTGCACAAGCTTATTTCACAATATTAGATAAAAAAAAATCAGAAAAAGCCCTCCCCTCAAAAGAACAGAAGTGGTCAAAAGTGGACAGAAGAGATGGATTAAAACACCAGGTGTGAATCCCTCGTCTACTCGTGATCCGATCGACCTAAACAGGGCCCTTGAAATCAAAAGCGCTTCGTATGCATGGGCCAAATACCCAATTTCAGTTTCATATCATATAATGAAACGTTCAAACAAGACCTTTACATCAGGCTGTACAGTGTTGAAGTGTAATGAAAGCTGTGGGTTACTGTGTTTCAAGTTGAAATATGTACAGACTAGATTACCTACGGTGACATTTGAAAAGCCAAACGTGTTTTTACAGAGAGAATACTATGTGAAGTCAGTCGTGCAATGACATTAGAAAGCGAAAAGAGTAGCTTACAGACCCTAAAAGCACTTTAAAAAGTGTTTCTGTAAGACAACCAAATAAAACGTCCATCTAAAATCGTGGTTACGTACACAGGTCATATTAAAAACCATCTCTGCCGCTGAACACACTGCGATTTTATACACCACTGACTCCAAAACAGCAGTAACAGTGAGGAAACACTCATTCATCCAGGAAATGGATGTGCCGTTTAACGACCCTCCACTAACTAGTGACTCTCAAAAAAAAAAAAAACATCTCAAAAATATATTCCCCATTCATCTTTACAAGTAAACTCAAATCATTCCACATCCAAATGGCAAGATGCCGTAGAAGTAGCTTCAATCAGATGCAAAAAACTAAAGTAATCAAAGAAATGCTGGTTTGGTATAAGAGCTTTGAAGATGCCCTCAAAAACTCTTACCTCCGTTCTCACACTTTGTCAATTCAAAAGAACGTGTGAGTTTGAGAAAGAAAGGAGGACGTGTTTCCAGACTGGCGTGACGGGTGGATGCGGATGGAGGAGGAGGAGGAGGATAGTCATCTGCAGCAGCCCAGCGGTCCTGCGGGCGCCTCCTGACTGCTGTCTGTGTCCGAGGTCAGTGTGGGGTCGGTGGACATGGACGAGACGTCGTTTGTGGAGGACGAGGACGTCGAGGGCTCATGGGAGTCATTGCTCATTGCTGCACCTGTGCTATGAGAAACAGAAACCATTTTTATCAGCCAGGTACTGCTGAAACACTGTAAACGTTGTTGCTACAAATATACCCCAGCGACTTAACACTGCTTTTGTGCTCCAGGGTCACATATGTGGCCTTTCACACTTCAAACTGTAAACCCAGACTCGTTTTAACCAGTAAAAATACTGCAACATCTTTACAGCATCAGTTTGCTTCAGAAGATTGGCTAAGACATTAAGATTTGTTTCCTCAAATTATATTTATGCTTAAAAGAAACATCAGGTAAGAAAAATAAACACAATTCAAAACATATTCTCTGAAAACAAGTCTTAATAATGTTGCTTTTCAAGTAAATGTATCTTGAATTAAAGATTCATAAGTCTTGAATTAAGATGGTTCGACATATTTACTAGAGTAAAAACTGATTGAAAATGGTAAATTTATTCATAAATAATAATTCATAAAAATTTTAATGAATTAACCCTAGGTAGTCAGGTTTTGAGATTTCACCCCATATATATGTAAACCCTGGATTGATGTTCTTAATTGAATATTCACAGTCAATAAGGTTTATTGGACATTATATGAACTACTTTCTGAGCAAGAATTAATTTGCTTGACATTTAATTGTTTTACCATACGGCATGTGAAAATGCTTCTGACTTTAAACCTGAATATAAGCGGCCCTTAACCTGTGCTTTAAAAAAAGATTAACCCAGGGTTAATGTTGTGTGAAAAGCCTAAAGCATAAATCAAGGAGGAAACTAACCTAGCGAGGCCGGCTGTCCTCGGATAACCCCGTTTTTCGTTCGTTCCTCCAAGTCCTGCACTTCCTTATATATCAGCTCTGATCAGGGAACAGATACAGAAGAGCTCAAATTACATCAAGAAACTTTTTTTGCACTGATGCCATGATGTATAATCTTATTTCACTTTGTGTCCATTAAGATCCAAACAAAACGAGAAAATAATCATGCATACGAAAAAGCTTTCATTTGAAAAGAATGTGATTTAATGGAATGCAAAAATAGGCATTATCAGATTGTAATTTAATAAATCAATGTTATTAAATAAATTAAAAGATGTTCTTCTTTGTTGAATTTCCTTAAAAAAAAAAGTGCTAAAACCTATATACACACACACACATACATATATTATGATATATACAGTTAGCTTGATATAAAATTAGTCAATTATTGAAATTAGCTAATTAATTTTGGTCATACCTTTAACTCACCAGAGACTAAATATTATGATTTTATGACAATCAATGATTTAAAATAAAAAGCGCACCTTTCCACTCTTCCACTGTGTGTTCTCTCTCATCTAGCTGCTTATCCGTGATCACCGGTGGCGGCTGAAACCGAGCAGATAAATGTCAAACAGATACGTCACAAAGGAAAGAAAACAAGACGTCAGGTGCTCCATCAGTCCTTCTCTCTGGAGGGTTCATGCAGCGCAAGCTCCCATCTGGACTCTGAAGTCAACCAGCACCAATAATGAACACTGAAGCACTCACCGCTTCCACTTCTGACGGGTCGTACCACACGTTGATGTAGGGGTGCTGGAGGGCCTCGTCCACCGAGATTCGTTTAGACGCATCTATTACCAGCATTTTGGATAACAACTCTCGCGCTTGACTCGCTGCAAAATAATTGCATTTAAATCAGGACCTGAATTGAGAGGAAATTCGCCATAGACAATCATGCTGTTCTTGGATTACTGCGACTTGATGAGAGTTTAATGAAGGGAAACAAACAACAGTGTGCGTCTGGAGAAGCCAAATTGAATTGTGAATTGAAGGCGCCTTTAAATAAAGCAACGAGTCATTAGTAAGTCATGGATTACAGTAATTTTACAATGGTTAAAGATCGCATGCATTGGCTTGATAAGCACAGTTTCCCGTGTCGACATATTTCATTTTGAAACAGGAAGGGTGGCACATTTTAAAGAGTTCAAGCCTTTTTCTATATAGCCAATAGATTAGAGCTGCAAACTATGGAGTAGTAAGAAGATATACTAAACACTGCATACACTTAGGGCTGGGTATTCAAGCAAAACACATTAGCCTAGCATCATTAGTCTAACTCTTGGTAGTTTATTGCATCTTTGAACATGGCTCATCCAATCAGAACTTTCCATTTCTAATAGCAGGCTACAAAAATCAATATTTACAGAGTAACAGAGCACTATAAAACAACAGAAAGCTTTATGGCAGGTCTAAATGTTAAAGACGTATCCCTCACCTTTCAGTTTGTTGTGGTCGGAGTCTGCAGGGAAGAGCACGTCTGGGAAGAGCTTCTCAAAGCTGTATCCAGCATAGCGGGGCCGGTTCTCTACGTAAGTCCTCACGGACTGGTTGAGCTTCAGCATGAACTCCTGAGACGGTGTGCCCAGCTGCTCGATCACCTTGTTCCACTGGTCGATGTCTTCAGATGACATGCTAAGGAAAACTACCTGACTGCCAAGTCACATATATAGAATGTTTCACTTTGAGCTTTAATTAAGCGGTTTACCTCTTTAATTTTACCTCTCGCTTAATTTAACAATGACTGTAGCATGTAAAATTTCCCTGATCTGGCGTGACGTGTCAAGTCTTTTTCAGCATCGTTACTCCACTCACTTTCACCACTGAAAGTGAAAATGTTATATTAAGACAAGTGTGTCTGTGTGTGTGTGAGAAAAATTATCAAAAATTATCAAAATCTTTAAATGTTCAAATATTAATTTTTTTTTAAAGTGTTAAAAAATTATTTAATTAAAAATGTTAAATATATGTAAAAAAAAATATACACATATATTTAACATTTTTTATTAAATTATTTTGTACATGTTTTTTTGTTTTCGAAAGCAGTCTCTTCTGCTCACTAAGGCTGCATTTATTTGATCAAATACAGTAAAAACAGAAATATTATTACAATTTAAAATAACCGTTTTCTATGTGAATATACTGTCTGTAAAATGTAATTTATTTCTGTGATCAAAGCTGAATTTTCAGCATCATTACTCCAGTCTTCAGTGTCACATGATCTTCAGAAATCATTCTAATATGCTAATATAATATATATGGCAAATTAACCTTCAAAAAAAGGTGGTAGAATAAATTATATAATTAATTCGAGAGAAAATATGCATAATGTCACCTAAAAAAATCAAATATGGAAACCAATATATAATGAAATATATGTATGCATAATTAAACGGTTATGGGTGTTGTGTAATATGTAAAATAAAAAAATATGTATTATTAATTTTTTATCTACTTCGCATTTATCTGTAAAATGAAAAGAAATACATTAAAAAAATGCTGCTTAGAGCTGCACACACATGAGTAAAAAAGTTATGTGGAGTGGGATTTTTACTATGGTCAGGGTTAACCAAGTGACTGAATAAAACTGTCTTGACACTTTCATGTGTAAGGAAGCAAAGAGTTGTTGTTGTTTTTTTTTACATTCTATTAAAATATTACCTTTTTATTAACCTTCTTTTTTTATCAGGTCTCGCACATCAATGACAAAACACATAAAGGGTAAAATAACTAAAAAAAAAAAAAACCCCAAGCAAACAAACACACACTCAGAATGGGACAGTAAAGACAACCAGGTAAGGATACGGTCTGTGCCAGGAAACAACACACTACCTCTGACCATTTCAGCCATGATGCAGCCAACAGACCAGACATCAACTGAAAAATGAAATGACAACCAAATTAAAGTGCCAAAAATCTTACAAATGAAAAACAATAAAACAGAAATACAAGCACACACACATATATATAAGGAACAGGGTGCATTGATGTGCATGCAACAGAGGTGACAGGTGCATGCAAACATCTCAGTGTGCGTCAGGCAGGATCACAGCCCGATAATCCATAACCCTAGAGGCCCTACTCTTCACAAAACAGCACAAAATCCAAGCAAACAACTAGAGGCCGAACAAGGATACAGTCCCTCCCTGGAAAAAGGATTTTGTGCCGCACCATCTCTGCCATAATGCAGCCAACAGCCCAAATATCCACTAAACCAGTGTAGCATAGAGGAAAAAGAGAAGAAATAAGCAAAGCATAAAGGGCAGCGCGACTGCTTGAGATTTTTCCATGCCAAGTTTTCCTCAGCGCTACCATCCAGGACTAAACGTCAGCATTTTTGGCCTTCAAATTGATTTTTGCACTGCAGCGAACCACTTTCACTTCCCCAAGTAAGACTCGGTGACTAATGCTTTTCCTATCTAGATGCTCAGTGCTACAGGCAAACCCATCCAGTGTGCTTATGCATGCAGAAACCACTCCAAACTAGTTCAACTGGATGAAAGAATCCCTCAAGGGGCTTTAACGTTAAAACACCACAGCCATTTGGTGAGATTGCGGTTGTTTTCAGCAGAATGGTGTGGATGTGCTCGAGTGGGACCCTTTACGTGGGCATGCTGCAAAGCAGTGACATCAGGTTAGCACTCACCATTGGCTTGGTAACCCATGCCCAGAATGACCTCGGGAGCACGGTAGTAGCGCGTCACCACGTAAGGAGTCATGAGGAGGCCGGTGGCGGCTGTCCGGGCCAGGCCAAAGTCGAGGATCTTCAGCGTACAGTCTGATTTCACTACTATGTTACTGGGTTTCAGATCCTGACAAGAGAAGAGGTCAGGGGTCAGAAGGGACGTCACATTCTCACAGGTGGGAATCTGCACTGTACGGTTTGAAAACTAGGGCCTTGCATTTTTTTTCTCCCAAAATTTTGTTGTTGGTGTTTTTTTTGCTGTATAAGAGTTACATTTAAATAATTAAACTTATGCAATTTTACAACAGTTTAGTAAAAATGTAACAAAAATTACATTTTTAGTGCCCTATGAACTTCAAATTCCATTTTATTTTTCCCTAATTCTGTGTTTCAATATTTCTGGACTCTGTTTTAATGGTTTAATTAAATTCTAATCAATGGTCTAATCAATTGAAACTTTAACAATTTAATAGTTTTTTTTTTAAATTCGTACAATAATAGGACCCTCTGAAATATTGTATTTTTGAGAAATTCTCAGGGGTCAGAAGGGACGTCACATTCTCACAGGTGGGAATCTGCACTGTACGGTTTGAAAACTAGGGCCTTGCGTTTTTTTTTTTCAAAATTCCGTTGTTGTTTTTTTGCTCTATAAGAGTTACATTTAAATAATTACACTTATGCAATTTTACAAGAGTTTAGTAAAAATGTAACAAATTACATTTTTAGTGCCCTATGAACTTCAAATTCCATTTTATTTTTCCCTATTTCTGTTTCAATATTTCTGGACTCTGTTTTAATGGTTTAATTTAATTTTAAATAATCAAAAAGCAAGTCTAATCAATTGAAACTTTAACAATTTAATAATTTTTTAAAAATTCTTACAATAATAGGACCCTCTGAAATATCCTGTGTTGTCTATACTATTTTTTTTCTAATAATGCAAATTTATACTAATAACTGTGGTAATCAAGAAAAAATATATTTTAAAATGCAATTAAATGAAAATGTAACAATTCCTTTTATTTTTTGGCAAACAAAGTGCTTCACAACAAATGTTTACTGTTAAAATTAAAACATGGAAGAAAATTGTGTAATATAACTTAAAAAAAAAAATCATAGAGCCCTTAGAAACATGGGTTCAGTTCTAAAAAGCTTGTGAGCTGCACAAGAAAGCTGTAGTAAATAATTGGCAGCATAATTATGCTGTCTTAATAAAATATCTTATTTTGGCCAAATTTTAATCACAACAGAGTAGAGGGAAATGTTCATTATAAATGTATTTCAAGATAAATATATAAAGTGCTTAAAATATAGATACAAAATAGTTCCATTTAATTTAAAAGTAATTGTTTATTATTATTATTATTTGCTTTCTATGTCATTGTGTTTATTAAGGCAGGAGTTTACAGTGCTTTTGGAACCCAAAAGGTCTGCAAAATATTTGAGGGAAAAAAAAAATACAAAATATATATTTTAGGGCGGTCAAAATTCTGAAAAACAATGAATTGTATGTTTTTGTTTTAATATTCCATATATATTTCATAGATTTTTAAAAATATTTCTGGTCAGAAATCATGTGATTAACTGCATTTTTTAAATTCTATTGACAGCACTAGTTTAGTGTTAAAAGATAAATGGGTTTATAAAATATTGACTCTTGTAAGTGATCATTCTATTTCGGGGTCCTTAGCATCAAAACGCTTGAAAACTCCTGTACAAGAATATCAAGTCATTAGTTTAACAACGTGTTAAAACTCAAACTCTATTGACAACCACTGAGCATTAGTCTTTCTTGTGCTTTTACAGAGGGAGAGCTTTTTATATTTTATGTATATTTTATATATATGTATAAAGTAGACAGCAATCCAGTTCATTAGGCTTTGAAATATAGCAATACAGTGTCTGTACTTCTTGTTGCTGCTTGATGAAGTTGAAGGACTGGACTGGACTGTTTGTGTGTGTGTGTGTGTGTGTTTTTGTGACAAATG